GTCCTGTTTTGGTAAGGATGGCCGATCCTCCTCGGAAATGCTCCGGCTACTATCGAAGAAAATCAACGGCGTTCGTTAATAACCCTATATATATTTTATTAATCAGATTATTTTATCACTTAATTTTATCACTTTAATTCAACCTTCAAATTATCATCTCAATCTAGTAATTGTTGCGGTGAAACATGAAAAATAAAATCTAAATAAATTGAACAATAGATGTGTTCTATCATATTGACAATGCAATTATATCTGATCATGTTTCTGTGCAATTAGCTTATCGATCTGTGCAACTAGAAACCTCCATAATTATCGTTTGGACAATTCATTTTCGAGTAATTGACGTTTTATGGTAACAAAATAGTTAGTATAACAATTTGATATATTGGATAGCAAGACCGTGGAAAATATGTATACACTCTAGCAGTAACTGCAATGTTTGGCTAATAATTGCTTGATATTTTTAGCTCCGTTTTAATTAGAGATGAGTGACACTACTAAACTCGGATAAAAGATTAACGACATAGAACTATTTATAATGGTTATAAATAATAACAGAGAGAGGAGAAGCGAAGTATCTGTGTCAACCATTAATAAAGGTAGCTTGATGCAATTTAATGTATTTTAAAAATAAAATCGAATAAAACCAATTATCGGGTGCAGGTACAGGTGACATGAATTAAGCTCAACGATATCAGATGTTTCCGATTATACTGACAAATTTATACGTAAAATGCATTAATCACTACCTATAAGATGTGTTTTTAATTTAAAAAATCACATTAAAAATATTATTACATTATAATACTGTGCTTAATTCTTAATAATTTGAAAATATTAAATAACATCACTGTAGATGCTAATTTTCCTATTAATATTAATATCACTTTGATAATACGATATTAAAGATTGCTTCTATTTGAAGCTACCGAATTATTGATATTTCCCTCTACAAGAATAATTTCTCGTTGCAATCAATACAATCATATGTAAATATGATTTGTCTAAACCAGAATTCTTATAAGTTTCACATGTAACATTAGAGCGAACGATGAGCTTCGTTAAGTTGTAGCAATTAGCAATTTTTTCTCAGAGGATTTATTTCGCTCTTCAAGGTGTTTTCTTCGCTGTCATTTGAAATTTGTGATGTGCGAAAGAATGACAAACATAAAAAAGAAAAACACCGAATCCCACAGATCTATGCGCCTGCAGCAGCGAAAGTTTCGTAGTTTAGGGGAATTTCGTTGCCGCTAGGGATATTTCGTTGCCGTTACTCCTGCGACTATTTCGCGTTAGTGCGGGGATTCCCGAACAACAGAAACTTCGCGATTCTCAACGAACGCTTTGAGGGAATTCTTGTGCGAATCCGTATGTTCTACCAGGGTAAAACAAGCGTTGAAATTGCAAGCCAAAGCGGCGACGTTGGTGAGTTACGCGGCTCCGGGGGGAATTACCCTGCGATAGTGCGCGCGCGCACTCTCGCGTTGGCCGAAGCAATGGCTCTCGCTCGCTTTGGGAAACGATTATAAAATCGTAAAAAAGCGAGGCTTACGAGTTACACGGAACGATTTGCCGACCGGTGCAAATTGTAACGCGGTCTTTGTAGTTGGCAGCAGCAGGTGTATTCCAATTCAGTGGAAGAGTATTAATAAAATTACCGTTAACCCGATAGCACCGCGCCACTTCCATTACCGGACACACACATACACTCTCGCGCTCAGAAACGCACACAGTGTGAGAGTGCTCGGGGCGAAATCAAATTGAAGCTTTATCGTCCACTTACGCGAAACTAGCCGCGTAAATCGCGGCTGAAACTTGCGCTTGAGATTCCCTTATCGAAACGCCGTTTATCCTGGCTAATTATTGTATACGTTGGTTAGATCGGGAGCAACCTGTAGAAATACGCCACTTCGGCAAGTGTTCCCAGTGAATGTTACGGTCTGAGGGGGGCCGCTTTCTGCTCGTTCGAGTAAGAAGGTGGCGTAAATTGTTTGATTAAACGTCGGCCGGCTTGGTGGCCGATTCGTTGCAACGGGAAATTCGTTTCTTCCAGGAAACACTTTTTCGAGGATCGAAACGACGGTTCGGAGAATCGTGGAATTGGACCGATTTGGGTTTCAAGAATGGAGAAATTAGATTTCTGAGGAATAGCTTTGCGAATGTGGAATTTTTGTGTGTGTGTGAGATTTTAATATACTTGTTTGAAGAGTTTGTAGCGATAGGAGATGAATGGAATGAACGTTTATACGAACATTTACGCCACACAAGATTTTCAATGTAAAAATGTACGAGACTCCGTGTGATATATTGCTTACTTTACTTTATTCACTGGTCTCTCCGACGTTTTACCCTCGCTATATAGATATTCTTCCCCTTTAAGAAGACCACATCGCTTTTTACGTAAAGAGTCATTCTTCAGTTGAGTGCTCTCAGAATTGTGACTTTTAAAATATCGTAGTCACCATTTAACGCGAGAACTTCTTTGCCCTTATACTATCGCGTTCTTCGAGATAGCAATTTTATCTCGCAATGGTAATCTGGTAATTACGCGTTGCTATAAATCTCTTTGGAACTTAAAAGTAGCACAGAAGTCATGGTCAAACACCGCGATATTGATATATTTTTTAATACAAAATGTATCTCTGTATTTTTAACCCTTCAATACCAAAGAAGAAAGAAGAAAGAACCGAAAGCGAGTTAATAATGTCACTCGTACATACAAGTGTCGCAAAATTAATCAAATTACCATCATTCATGAGACTGTTAAGTGCAAACTCGCTCGATTGACTTGGGATTCAATAATAATTTACACTGAATGAACATTATAGCTGGTTCACCGCGCACCTGAATCACTCGAACGTGGCAAAAACGCTTTTGCACGCTCTGTGTCGTTTATTTATCGTATCGCCGATTTTTTTTTTTTTTTTTAATCCTTTCCGAGCGAGTAAGAGATAAATAACAGGATCAGATCGAAGTTAAATTATTTCGATCTCATAATTTCACGTCGATGAGACATTACGCTTTTTTCGTCTTTTTTCCACCCTTTCTTTTCTTTTCGCTAATTTGCACTCGTTAACGAATCACTCGAGTCCACGCACTAAAACATTGTATGGTTTTCCCGTACTTTATTCTCTGTGAAGCGTGACTATCGACATCATTAAGCATTTATCTGTCGCAGTAATAGCGCATGAATAACAGAAAGTGCATTTAATGCGATATGCATACCCGTAGATTTAATGCCTCGAAACATGATACGCGGTATGCAGTAATGAGAATGAAGAATGTGATAAATACATTACGAGATTCCGAGTGGAAATGAATGCTTGTTCGTTTTGTCTCAGCATTTTTCTAGTTTGCAAATTAGAGATACTTTTCCTCACGTGTGATTAATTCCTCTTTATTTTTTTTTTTTTTTTACGGAGATGGTGATGCACAGGTTTTAAATGGCGCAAGGGTTTAACTGTGCTTCGGTGAAGTTGGGGGGATGAGACGAATTATGTTTCACCGAGTGTGTGATTAATTTGTATACAGTAGGTATTCCTTGTGACTTTTAGAATTGTTTTCTTTAGAAATGCAAACTAGCTTTGAGTTTTTCGTAAAACTTATTTTAGACGCTGAGAAGTGTGAAATTTTTCTTTGTTTACATTCTGAAATGTGTACGTTTGTATGTATTGTATTAAATTTCTCATAAATTATACACTATAAGTACGTTCTCATATCCGGAAGATAGAATTACCTAAGAGGAAAAGTAAGTTAAATGTTTGACTTTACACAACCTAACGTATATTGATATTATATAATATATCTATGTGGAATTACCAGTATGTTAATCAAGAGACAGCTTTCTACTAATGCCTTCATTGGAAGTGTCACCAAGTAATAAAATATTGACATAAAACTAATACATTACGTAATAGAAAAATAGCCATTTCCTTTGTAATTTAATACATTGTACCTTATCCTACCATAAATTCCACATTTTATCTACCTTCCAGGCATTTCAAAATTATGTAAAATTAATCGATAAAATGTTCACGAAAGAGATCATAAAAAAGTAATTTCTACACTGTAAATACTCGAGCTGGCAGTTTTTAAAAAATAAAAAACAAGGTTTACCTCGTTCCTCGTTTATCTTTCCTTGCTAACAAGTATGATACTAGAAAAAAAAAAAAAAAGGGAATTAATTCGTATTAATATGTATCAATTTTGCTGAATATTCAAGATGTTGAATACTGTTTTACACGCATAGTCTCATAAATTAGTTAATTAAGAAAGGCAAATACTTTGAAAATTACAAATCCTTAAAATAAGAATTTTAAAAGCCTACAGTAGATTTTTCTTAATTTATCCAATTGAACAATCAATTAAATGTGTACTTAAAATTCCGACGAATCGTGTGTCTACGATTATTATTATGGTCACTTAGTATCGAAAATTCTTATCCGTTATTAACATAAAGTAGTAGTTAACGCTAAGTAATGCACATTTGTGCTAGTGATTATGAAAGTGGTTGAAGTCAAATATCTCAAAAAATTGAGATTTTTTCATAAAAGAGAGTTGTGATATTTCGTGAAATATTTTGTTGCATAATGAAAAGATATTTTTTAATACATCCAATATTCTAAATATTTCGAAACAAAAAATATACGATTTAGGCCATTTTTATAATCACCAGCATATTTAAGAAGTAAAAAAATTCAAATTCACTTGTTCCCACAATAATTCGCAGCAAGTCAAATTACCCCCATTCTTCTTCACACGAATTGTCGTGTTTACACATTTCGAATACAGAATCTCTCTTGTAGAATAAGCTAACCACCGATAATCCCCTGAATTGCTCTGCAACTGCTGTCTCTGCAATTGCAATTTCAACCTCGCAAAAATTACACGACAATCGCGTCAAATCTCTCGCATTTAGCGGGTTACTCGTGAAAAAGAAGTCTTCCTCGACAGCCCTATTCACGTGGTGTGATTAAAACAAGCAATTTCATCGATTCGATGAAAGGATCGCGTGCATTTAAACAACGTTTATCTCTGCGAAATCGTCGC